GAGGATAAGGTTAAGTAGGGAGTGGTAGGACAATTTTAAGTCATTGATAGTTATGTAGTTTCTATTCCTGTAAAGAGTTTTAAGTACCCCTTGTACCTATTTATATTTATATATAATCTTCGTTTTGGTTGTTAAAAAAAAAAAAATACTTATACGTACTTCATTGTTGAATTTAAAACATAATAATTCTATAATGAATATTGATAACCATAAATACGAAAACATAATTTACACATGTATAAATATTAATGTTTTTTTTTAATTCGACTTAAAAAATATCGTACACATATGTACGTGAAACCTTTTTAAGATGCAAGACATCATTGAACTGCTTAGGGCCTAATTATAGTTTAATATATTTTATGGAGGTTTCTTCGGAATTCAGCTTTGTTAGAAGGAGCCAACTCAACCACCATGGGAAATGTTCTTCAAAAGTGCATCTTTCAGCCTTAGCAAAAGGGAAGATCCTAAAGCTATGCGTAATATAAGAATTCTATGTTAAAAATAAGTTAACAACTCATTTTCGTTCTTGCACATGGTTTGAAGCATAGGATAAAACTCTTTTATGTTGGTCCAGCGATTCCTTTGGTAACATGAGTGATTATTATCTTGTAGGAAAAAGTGAATTAGGTTCAACTACAAAAGTGACAAAGAAGGTGTAATTCATTAAGAATTAGAGTTTGGTTATCACTTTATCTATAAACTTGTGATTACAAATACTACTTTATATATAAGAAAAAAGTAGGATAAATTGATAGTTATTAAAGAAATATATATTTTTCTATTTTTTACACAAAAATATCTTTAACAATAATTAGAGACTAATTTACTTTAAAGTATAGAGATTAATAAAGTGAATTTTGTCTCTCTTAATAATTGTTTTCATATTCATAATAGCTGCAAAATTAAGCTTCTATGAACATACTTAAAGGACGTAGCTATCAATCAATTTTACTTTGCCTTGTTGGTAAATAAAGTATATACTGAAATAGTAATAATGGATATATAGTTCCAAAGCATAGTGGACCAAAAGGAGTAAAAGGGTGGAGTAAGTAACAAGAAAACAAAGGGATGCGAAGGAAACATTTTGTGACATGCATTGTGTCACCACATTCTACTTAGAACTTTGTTCCTTTTGAACTACGAATCGAAGTTTGAAAGTACATAACATATTTTCTCTGTGGGGTTAGGGACTTGAAATTAAGAAGAAGAAAAATTAGGAGTATTTCCAAAGACTAAGTGGACCATATTGTGTGTACGTGGTTTTATTCTTCGTTGCTTGTCCACTTCTACATATACCACGTGACATTTTTCTTTTTTGCTTTGACATGGAATTTGAGAATGGTCTTTGTATGAATTGAAATTATACTATTGGATGAGGTCCCAGCTAAGTGAGTTTATGATTCATATATGGATTTGTTCCACTTTGTGGGTTGTGAGCCACCACATACTTTCTATAGATTAATGCAATTCATATTTGTTGACTTCATGCTCTTGACATGAATACCATTTTTTATACTTGAGAGTGGCCCTTGGTGGTTGTCAGAAATGTTTGGTAGTTTTCACTATCTTTGACCACAGTGTAAATTTACTTAGTTCAATGAATAATTTTACATGGTCATATACTTTTTTTCTTTTTAAATCATACATGGAATTATAATTGTAACGAGTCAAAATTGAAAAGTAATTGAAATTTCAATACAATTATTCTAAATTGTTATCTTTTAAATAAATTATAAAAGCACTTTCTTTAAGGTAGTTAATTAAGATAAGTAGTTCAATATTTGTATATATTAAGAAAAAGACAATTGCTTGATACATTTGGAATAAATTCTTTTTTGTGCAAGCTCTAGTACAATTAAAATATAGAATAAAAATTAATTTCATCATATATCTTAATTACAATCGATTAGATCATTAGAGTCAATTTAGTAGTGAGAACTAGAATAATATATGTATAATAATATATATATAATTTTATATTTGAATTTTAATGTTATCATTATAATTTTAATATAATTTCAATAGATAAAAAAAATTATAATCGATCATTCAAATTTAATTTGATCTAATTTTAAGATGATTGTCAATTAACTAATTGGCTTATAAAATTGAGTTTTGATCTTTAAAAATTATGTATCATAATAAAAACATTTAAACAATATATAAAATATAACAATATATTAAAGGGATACTTTTTTCTCTAATTTATTTTTGTTCATTTTGTCCTTCACAACTTCTTTAAAAAAATAAATCAATTTATATCTAAACTTTTGATCTTTTAACCTCCTTAAGTAATTATAAGTTACATTTTTATTGGAAGTAAAAAAATTTCACTACTCACACAATTGCTCTTTTTTCATTTTTTTATAATAATCGATAACAATTATTTCTAAAATTCTTATTTTTTAATAAAAAATTAAGAGAGACACGAAAACTACTTCCGAATAGCTGAAGTACAAGGGGGAAAGTATTCATTTTCGTTCTCTTATATGACGGCTTTAACTTTCAAAAAAAGGAAGATTGTTTTTGAAGTTTTGATGATGAAATATTTATTTACACAAACGAAATCCCAAAAAAAAATGATAAGGAAATTGTATATTTTATATGAAAGAATATTCAACCAAAAAGGGCATTTGGGTTTAAAAAACATACTTTAGGCCTTGTATTGTGCTGTCTTTAAGAAAGAAAATGAAAATCCTTCTACATATCTCCATTTTCAATTGAGATCATGCAAGTTCAAAATGAGTTGTCATTAAGTATAGTGTCCCTAAATAAGGGTCCTCACCTTTGGGCACAGTTCCACTTACATAAAATAATACTTGGAGAGACAAGTTTCAAAAAGAAAATGCGTATTTTCATATGGACCCTACCCTTTTTGATGTATTGTTATGTTGCAATGGGGGCATATGGACAGCAAAAGATTGTGCACCCACCACACCACCATCTTGAGGCCATTGTCTTTGCACTACAATCCAAGAAAACCATCACTCACTGCTGGCCAACCAATCTACACTACCCCTTGCCCTAAGGCCCTTATCTCACTCTCTAACATTAATGTGTGTCTCTCTCATGCACCACTTTGTTTCATATGTATACATACCATCAATAACAATGCTTTTGTCTTCTCCCACTCTACATTTTGTTCAACTTTTTTTTTTTTTTTTAATTAGGTTAATTTTCAAAAATGGGTGGTTTGGGGACAGGAATTTGTTACAATGATTCCCTTATTAGAAGCTTTCTTTTTCTTTAGAAAAAAAAAAAAAGTTTAGAAAAGCATATGTTATCTTTATAGAAATCGGAACATATCACCTTGATGGCTTGATCATAATTTACGTTAGCACTTATAAGTCACCCATTCAATAAAAATAGGTGAAAAAAATATAAAACTTTGCTTTTATGATAGATATTTTTTTTAATAAGCACTCACTTTGGTCTTCAATTTGCAAGATGTAGTCATGTTAGCCGTTAAAATTAATAAATGGTAAATTTAGGCTTTAAAATATCAAATAAATATTTAAATTAACTATTTATTGTTATTTTAATTTTTAAATATATATCAATATTAATACTTTGATCAACCATTGTATTTCATCTAGGATCTAATCCGAGTTTATATTCTTTATAATACAAGTTCAACATTCTAATAATTATTAAAATCTTATTTTGACAAATATATCTATTCAATAAATTGTTAGAAAAATCTCAAGTCAAATTAGATGTTATTAAACTTCAGTTCAACACTAATGAAACATAAGTGGATAAAAATGTTTAATTTAAAGAGTTCTAATATGTTATTAATTCTTTGTTTGATAATTTTGAGTGTTATTTTTATTTACCATATATATATATATATATATATAT